GTACATGGGTCGCTTCTCGGGTTACGCAGCGAAAGGGATGCGTAGATGACGGTTCAGGGGCTCTCGCACACGAGCGAGGGCGCGGAGCTTATATGAATGTTAAAATAAGTTTGAAATTGTCGCGGACAAGTTCGGCCCCGCGGGAGGTACCCGTCGAGTAATTTCACGGCGCTGGTGGTTTCGACCCTTCGGCGAGTTTGCAACCAGCCGCGGATTCGTAGAAACTTTTGCGGCTTTACGGCGCGACTTCCGCCACCTTCGCCGATAGCTTGACGATCATTTACTTTGACCCTGGAAAAAATGCTATTATTTGTGTTGTCCTCGACAGAAGATTAAAAAGGCAGCATTTTGCTATTTATGATATTCAATCTGTCTGTATTTATTTGAAAAAAAAAGATAAAATTATATATGTGAATTATATAATCAATGCATTGATTAACGCATCTATATTGATAATCAAATCGATATTATGTCAAAAATATAATTATTGGACTCCCCGGTAAATCGAAAATCTGCAGTTATGAAAGCAATTTCTCTCGCTGATTTAACAAGTACTTGATAAAGCGTCGCTGAAAGAGCGATAGGAAAACTAACAAAGTTTTGCAGACGAAGCGTGGCAGAGAGGCAATACTGCCAGCGCAACCTGACGCGCAAACTAAAGCCGTTTTGCCGCGTGACAGCTTCGTGAGATTCTTGCCGCGGTACGTGCATCTCACTCGAGAAGGAAGGCACCCCCTCGCGTCGTCGTCCTCGAAAAGTTTAAATCACGAATTCGCAGAGAGACCGCCGCCGCGCGGCGGCCCCCACGGCGTACAGACGTGGATTTCGGAGAGGGTCGTCAGAGAGTTCACCCGGGCGGGAGTCTGATGGGTAAATGCGATGTGATGCGAGTAACTGAGTGGCTAATTGAATGAGGTGCCTCCCAGGAGCGCCGATCCGTCGCGTGTCACACGTCAGAATTTGCGCAGCGGGAACGCGAAATTACGACGATTGTCGGGTCGTGTGCCAATTATCCTCGCGCGATATGATTGCCAGCGCGGGAAATTATGCGACCGAACGATGACGAATCCTGGCCGATACATACGCACCGGCGAATCGTAACTATAGGCAGTTCGTCAGATTCATCAGGAAGCTGCGACATTTCTGCCGATCATTAATAATCCATTAACGGTATTGGACGCTTCAATTTACGGGAATACCCGATAACGACACAACCGAGCCATGGGGGAGAAAAAAAGGAGATCGTTTGTCAATTTTCCGGATCGCTACTGATTGGTTCCTGAGCCATATCACGCTACGTCCATATTTTATGCGTATAAAACTCCAAAGAAAGAGAGAGGAAGAGAAAGAGAAGGACGAGAGTGATGCGATATTAAATATGGAAGTAACGACCCGGAGATTGCGAATTTTATAGTATCGAAAAAAAGAGACTTGCAACAGATTTTGTTCACCTGTCGTCGATTCATCATTAATGTAAAGTTACAGGAAACTTTGGAAACGACGCTAATTTAATTTTAACTGATTTTGAATGTACACGTTCGACTAAATGGAGATACGATCGAATATAACGCTAGACGTTGCAATATTAATACGACAATGAATCTGAATAATTGCGACATTAACAAAGCGACAAAACCAATCGGCTTGTTTGCATTTTCGACAAATCTTTGAGAAAGCGACGGATATCAGGAATGGAGAGGTATTGTAAGCGGACGAAGGTTTACAGCATTGCGGATCTGTAAAGGAGGCTGCTTATGCATTCTTGGCGCGAAGGCAATCGCGGGGATGGCGAGTGTTGGATGCTGTGCGAGAACCAGACAAGAGAACAATTACGCGCCGTCAGCCCCGTGACCGGCAGGATACCATGAGGTGAATCAAAACTAGGTGTGTGCCATCACCCCTGGGCCAGGTCTATCTGCGCGTTCCGAAGCCACGTTCCGCGTCCCGGAGGAGAAAGATCGAATCTCGATCGGTAAGCGAGATTGGCAGAATAGGCGAGTGCCTGCAAAGAGCAATTTACGAAGGGCAAGCAAGAAATACAGAAAAAGGTTGGAAAAAAATCCCTGTGCAACAAATTTAAAATGTTTCTTCTAAAGAAAATTGTAATAATATATTGTTAATTTTTTAAAGAAATCTTGTCATGATATATAGTTATCGTATATCTTTTTATTTTATTTATTTTATACATTGTGTGTGTATGTAGTATATAATTGTATATAGTATAATATTATTCTAATTAGTAAATACAAAAGTAATAATACTATATCGTTAAAAGATAAATCCTTTTTATCATACATGCACTTTCGAATGTTTTAACAAATTTCCGAACAAATAATTCGATGAATTATGAAAAATGAATAGCTGGTGATCCACGATTAATGACCCAAAGAACCATTTATCATCAAATCTCAACGATGACAGGAGGTTGAGAGCGATAATTTATGACTATGGATTTCTAGAATGCTGCATGACACTTTTTATAAAATAATAATAACGAGATATTGTTATATCTCTTTAT